CACTTATTTCATCTGCTGTTTTAAACAGATGTTCCCAGAAATATATCTAAATTGGGTGAGAACCATTTTGCTAAACACTGCTTTTTTCTTTCTTTCCTGGCACTTTTAAATGAGGAAATTACCTGTCAGCTGGCACATGGCCGATTTGTCAACAAGAAACAAAGTGACCTCACATACTGGGAGCTGGTAAAACATGAACGTGAAGGCAGCTTGCGGGCTGCCTCGACAGTCAGCAGACAGCGGGGAAACAGGATGAGACTGTCAGCGTGCAAGCTGTGATGGAATACGGCTTCCTTACATCGGGGCATGCAAAGACATGCTCATACAGGTATTCACCACCTGCGTCCGGTCACATATTGCCGATCCAGCCCACCAGGGACTGGAACTGATCCATCATCCCTGTTCTGCCATAATCACAGCCTGTGACTGATTAATGAACAAACACACTGTCATTAGGCTACATAAGACATACATTCAGTACATCCCTTGCCTTTGCTTCTGCAGTGATTTGGTTCACTGAAAAGCTTTCAACTCTCCATCGCTGCTTTCATCCAACAGTTATGAGTTTGGATATAATACAAAGTAACAAAGACAACTGGTAGATGGAAATGGAAAAAGGCAACAAAGGTCACCAGTTTATTTATCCTGTCGCTCTGTATAGAGCCTGCATCAGTACATTAGCAGCCATGTCTTAAATCCATCATAGTTAATGGCCTTATATCTATCCATCACAGGCTGCTAGGCATATGGCAAGCATTACATTTGTAACAGTAATGACCTAAATGATATTATAACTCATTCCCATCACAATAGCAGACAGAGTAAACATGCAACCCCTTCCATATGTATTTGAATCCCCGGGATGGATGCATTAACGGAGCATAGAGCAAGTTCCAGAGTTTTTGCAGATGTTTGCTCCCTCCTGAGAGAATTTAAAATGACAGCATTGTTGTGAACGCTCATGGAAGAAGAGAAAAAGCACCACAGTACAGCCCTACAACTGCACAGGTCTTTTGTTTAGAGGCACAATGTCATCTGAGGTTAAAAAAAAAAAAAATTATCTAGCTTTTTCATTGAGTCCCAATTTAGTCCAAATACAGATTTGTTGAAACCAGACCCAATATTTACTCCTGTTGTATTCTCTCACTAGCCATAGTCCAATTTGGCCCTTTTTATAATCGATAGGTTTATTTTCTTACTCTTGTGAGAAACCTTGGACGAGGCCAGAGGTGCAGTAATGGCTGTTTGTGATCATTTCCAAAACCATTGCAGAGTAGCCAGATGGAGGAGTATGTGCAGCACATTACACCTAGAGAATACAAAACCAAAACCATGAAAGGCCTCATGGAGAGGTAGCAGGTACCGCAGAGGTTGCTGCAGTAAATAGATGATAAATAATTTTGCATATGGAAGAAAAAAAAAATATTTCTAGCCTTTAAAATAGTCTAATGGCAGTTTATTTTATTCTTTTTTTTCCCACTCAGCCATAAATTCTAATTTGATTTCAAGTAGTTTTCAAAATACAAAAAAAATTAGATATATATTAGTGTCAAAACCTTAAATCACATGGGCCAAAAACTGTCTGCTCAAAAGTATTTGAGGATCAATCAATTTTTAAGAATTCCAAAACTACCAGGAAGTCTATGGTGATTTTTTTTTTTTTTTACTCTGCTCCACAAAAAATGAACATGAGACATTTTAATCAGAGAAGGCAGTCAGAATCTCTTTAGGCAAATTATTTGCATGTGTATGTATATGTATTGGCCTTATTAAATATAGACATCAGTTTACTCTTAATTCTTTTCAGCCAAACTGATAGAAATAGTCAAACATTTTGTCTATTTTCAGGAATAAGACCAAGATATGGATAAAACATTTCTTGCTCTATTTATTTGAGTTTAATAAGTTAATAACAGCAGATTTTGGTGCCCTAAGTGCAAGAAAATTATAAAAAGTGTAGTTACTAAAAGACAATTACTGTATTTTCTGTAATAATTTTGACCTGATTAGAACTAATGACTCCATTAGCAGTATTGAGAGACCAAAATCACTCTTTAACTGAAATGAGGGACTGTAAGACCTTAGGAGCTGCACTTTAGACACACCTGGAATCAAGATCAAAGTAGCAGGTGGAGGAAGTAAGCCACCCTCCAGCAGCTTGCAGTCATCACTCCTTCCAAGTAGACAGAGTAGCACACCTCTATATATTCATATCAATGCATTATACATGTATTATGTGCTTTTTAGTATATCATATTTTCAATATATTCTCAAATAAAAAAAATTATATTGAGACTATTCCAAATATTATTAAACAACAGACAATACTGATAATTTGCTCATTCATTTCAGTACATTAATGCGGCTATAAGCACGATGCAGGGAAGACAAAAGAATGTGCCACTGAAAAGTTATAGGTCCTCGGCCTTTCAGCATTGAACCCATTATTACTATGCTGAATACTGCAGACAAACACAAGCAGGAAATGTACCAATTCATTGACAAACATGAAAGCTGTAGACCTTGTGAAAATAATGACGTTTGTTTCTGCTTTTACACAGCGGAGCTGCGCACATTAGTAACAAGGATTCACTCAATTCAATGTGTGAATGAATGTGGGCGTAAAAAAGTAAATTTCAACATGTGTGACACATGTTTCAAGAGGGAAAGCTTTCAAGCACTAAATTGTTTCCAAACGCTTCAATAAAAAACTGCATATTGAATAAGTCTCAGCACATTATCATTAATAAGGTGAAGATAAAAAAGAAGAAGAAAGTGGATCTTGAAATGTGCCATTACACAAGAGTCCCGTGCAACAAGAGGAGCCCAACAACAGCCAGCAGAAAGTGATTAAGTTATACAATCTTTAACAAATATTATAAGTACATGTAAACATAAAGACGCAACCATCAAGAAGATAACTATGACTGAAACAGCAACATGGAGAAATCAGAATACAGAACAAATTTCTACTGCAGCAGAACAAGAACAGACACAATCATTTATCAAAATTAAGGTAAGGCTACCTGCAAAAAATAGGAAATGCTCACCAGTAAATCTACTTAGTGAGTAAAAGGACCAAATGTGACTTGAAATGACACCAAGGAAAGGTATAAAGAAATCCAAAGGTGTCCCAAAGCCTCTTAAATGGGTCTCACTTTAAAACTAGAGATGTAGTTACCGTTCTGTTTTTTTCTCTCTTGACCTTTAGCTCAGACTTATTCTGAAATTAGTTTCCATCTTGTAGATGAAGGAATATTTTGTGCTGAGTTCAAGCTCCACTCCTACAGACTGCCACTCTGGGCAAGACCCTTAACCCCACACTGCTCCTCAAGGGGATGGGTTAAATGCAGAGAATGAATGTTGCTTTGAACTTGTGACAATGTAATGAGAATAAAGTTGAATTCTATTCTATTCTTCTATTCCATAACAAAAAATACCAGCTTATAACACAAAAGAAACCTGAACAATATCAGTAGCAAATATGTCCGATCCAGCACCACATGGCATTCTGGTTAATGTAGGTAGAGCAAAGGACTTAGCTTCTCAGCCTCGCACAGCCAAACTTAACAAGTTCAATTTTACATTTAAATAGGGTTCTGGTTACATTTTAAAAGTAGGCTTTCCCAAACACCAGACATCATTTAGACCTTGGTTTTTAGGCTAAATCTGGTGAGAAATAATTGTTGAAAATTTGTCTGTGTTTCATTTTGTCCCAGTTTAGTCCAATAATAGACGTTGAAAAAGAGATTTTAGACGTCTTTTTCAGCATCTTTTCCACTTCTTGAAAATTAAGGCTTTTCGCCATTCACTTTTCAACCAAATGTAGATGTGGTTTGGACGCAAATCATTTCGTCTTTTAAATGTATTTTTAAACAAATTTTTCCCGTGGGTGAGTGAGTGGGTCCTTATTTCAAAACGAAACACTAATCAATTTTCGACATCGACTGATATATCATTGTGTTTTTAAGCAATATTACACAGCCCTTATTGCAACCCAAAAAGATTTAATCTGACAAAATTTTTCCTGTTTCAGGCGAGTTAAGTCAAAAAGAAATGTAGTTAAATCTGAGAAAACAGAAAATAAATGTGCTTATCACTTTCTTTAAATTCATCACTTAAAATATATAAATCACTATGGGTCACTTGGCCAAAACAGCCGCTGTGTTGATGCCAGGGATGTAGAGCCCCATATTACATCCCACCATCTGAGCTAAATTAGTAACAGAGTCCCATCTGTTACTATAGTTAATTTCTTAGGGAAGTCATATTTAATTGTCAAATCATTCTGGCTTAAACATGTATATAAATGTACTCTTTATCAGATTATATTGTCCCAAAATTTAGAAAATTTCTATCTGAAAAAAAAAATCCTGTCTTAAAATCTGAGGGGTTTTTTCCATTATTTTATGCAGGCCAGTTAGTTATATGTCAGTTTGTACACCTAAATTCAGCCAATCATATATCAACAGTCATCTGTCAATCAAATTTTTTCAGTCATAGCATCCTAATTCATATGTCGCAGCTAATATGCGCAACGGTTGAAATAAGAAATAAGAATCATTTACTTTACCATTGAGTTCCGTCCCAGTGTTGACGGGGATGGACGTGTACGTCTTCGGCAGGCGTAGACCTAACAGAACTGGCAGCGTTGCGAGGCAAGGGCTCAAACATGTACGGCTGTAAGCCTTCTACAGCAAACTAAGCTTCTGCCACCATCACCATCACAACCGATCATATTCACTTTATTCACTTGTGTAAACTTGGGCACCACTCTGGAGAATTTGGAAATACAATGGTTGGAACAGTTGTTTCCCTACAACTTTAAAGGTATTACCTTAAACACACTGCTTCTTCGTGTTTTGTTAGGGTGTCATTGTTATCCACGGTCACATGTCTTTTAGAAAAAGAAAGACTACAATTCTTTTAAAAATAAAGATATTTAAAATCTGTAACAGGTAAAGCAAAGCTGGGACAAGAAAAAAAATGACAACACTGACCTTAGCAAACAATGCCCCCTTGGCGGCCAATGCATCTTCTCCTCTACCGTTGGGGTAACATTCATATCGGGCATCCAGGATAGGGTAGCGGCTGGCCAGCATTAGGCCACTGTTCAAGAATTTGAACCTGGAGCAGCAGCCTTTCCAGCCATAACACCCGACATCGCTCAGCACATAGGGGAAATAGCGATGTAACTGATGTCGGAGTCTTGTTGTTGCTCCATGGTCAAACACTTCCTGTAGAGCCAGAAAATCCAAGTTGGCAGGGAAGAAAGCAGAGATCTCATGGTCAAACATTTCATCTCCATGTCGACGTTTCCTTCCAGGGCGTTTGAAGATTGACGTGCGTGGCACATGAGAGAGAGTGTTGTTGGAGGATATCCCTACTGCATTGTCGCCACTATGGTAACGAGTGAGAGACTCCCGAGAGGCAGTGATGCTCCCTGTGTCTCCTCCTGGCAAATCTCTATGATTTCCAGTCTCAGCCTCCTCCTCCTGGGGGTCTGGTTCTGGGGCACTGATGCTGATCTGAACTGCTGAGGTGTGAAGTGGACACTCTGTGGAGGGTTTTTTCTGTGCTTCATCCCCGTGCATTGGGCAGTCACGATGGCCAGAGTCATTCTGACCACCTGTCGAATGCATCGGGCAGTCAGTGGTATCACCTGAGGGGTGGATTGGACAGTCTGAATTGTTGTTGGTCCCTGCATGGTGGAGGGGGCAATCTGTTGTGGCATCTGACCCAGCTTCGTGAACGGGACAATTGGTAAAACTCTGGTCTCCTGAAGATGGGTGAACGGGGCAATCGGTGGCAACTGAAGTGTGGACAGGGCACTCTGTGATGGGCTCGATTTCATTTTCTGCTGGGCCATTGGTGGTGTGGACTTGTTCTGGACGCTGGTCCAGGGATGAAGTGCGGCGGAAACCTGTGGCAAGACTGCTGAAGGATGCAGCACTAAATAACAGAATAGAAAGAAATATGTTTGGAAGGCATAGTTCTCACCAGCAGCTGAGAAAATTAAGGCATACAGTGTTTTAGATAAAATAAGAATGAAATACTTCCATTTAACCATCTGCTTCTGTAGTATGAAGTTTTTGCAGGTTCTGTATTTAGATCCTATAATTATATAGCCTGGGTGCCAGTCCGAACTTAGTCCCGCCCACAAGGTTTGAGTTCGGGGAAGTTCGGTCTGGCTCTGCTCCATAGTAGCGCGAGTATTAAAGCCCACTGTCAGGCGATCCAATCAAATTGACAGGGCGGGCTTTATACGATGATGGACAGATGATCAAGAGTAACGTTATCAACCACGTGACCAAAGCGCGCTTGGGTGACAACAATAATGGCTGCCGCTGGAGAGTTTGGGTGAGTAGATTCTGCTATTAGGTCTGTTCTAGAAGATATCGACAGCAAATTAATTTTAAAAGAGGAACAGAGAAACGCGATCAAGTCTCATCTTCTTATTCTAGGCGTGAAACTGCACGCTTTGATTTTTGTGGACAACAACTATGCCTCGCTTAAGATACGTCACGCACTCCGTTGCTCTTATTGGTTGTAGGTCTATCCAATTGAGTACAGAGGCATTTTTTTTCCTGGTTCGTTCAAAACACGCCCCATAATCACAGCTCTATGGAGCAGTATCAGACTCATATTCTGACTAGAATTGAGTCGGACTACGTCAGGCTAATAATTATATTGATATGGAATCAAATCATTTGAAGAAGAGTCCCCTCACCTGATGGATGTGTTGGTTGGCGAATCAATATAGATTTTAATCTGAGGCCGGCTTGCTCCATTGCGGATTCTCTTGCCCACCTCGCGAGCTCTCCTCTGGGTGTCTGATAAGTTGTTGAACCTGGCCAGGGAGTCCGGGAGGAGACAAACATTGGCACTGCAGAAACAGAAACTTCTGCCTTGTGGCCTCCAATCCGCAGTTCCAGTGCCACCTGGTCCAGCCTGACCTTCCTCTGCCTGGTTCTTATCTGGCCTGGAAACAAATGAAATACAACACAAAGTCTAAAACATGAAATACATTTTGGAAAATAGTTGCCCTTTTTTGCCAAGGGAGATACATTATAAGACTTGCACAGTTCACATCATTTAAAACAGCTGTTTGGGAGTGACATCACCTTCCCACACTTTTAACACTGCAGAATAGACAGCTTGATCACAAGCCAGGGCATTACTACAAAGTCTATTGGGACATGTCAAAACATTTTACAGGATCTGTCAGATATCTGATTAATTTGACACATATAACACAAACTGCTACAAAATCATTTGTGTTACTCAAATGTTGTCGCACTTAACCAATAATAGAATTTAGTCTCTTATGCTTAGCTGCAGACTCTCTGTGTGCACTGATAAAGATTTACTCAGATTCATGTCCTGAAATGCCAGCTAAAAACCCTTTATGTCACATCCAGAACCTGTCCACTTAAATATATTAAATATTTTTAAAAAATATCTCAACAATTACAGTCCCTCTGTGGAGTAATTTCGTGTTCAATATGTGAGCCAAGCAAGCACTTTTCCAAGACAGTGTGCCAGTTGTAAGGAGCTGCCATGCCGAAACCTGAAGGGAGGTTTTGCAAGAAGTTAGACATCTTTTTTAACTAATATGAATTTCATCTAAAAAACACAAACTAGGAGCTATAAGCCCTAAAAATACAGATAACATTTTGTAGCAAGAAGCAGGACACATTTTACACAGAAAGGGGCATATTGTGGGATATTTGATTGCTATTTGAAAAAAGAAATACAAAAGAATAAAATATAATATGAGTCCTTCAGGAGAATTTTTTTAATACTGAATACAAAGTTTGTATATATTAGGTTATCCTGAGCTATCTCTATAGTTATGTTGCTTTAGGCTTAGGCTGCTAGAGGACATAGGGACCACTTTTCATCATTCTGCTTTATTCAATATCCATATCCCATTCTGTTGTTTTTTAGTTTGAACCCTAACTTTATGTTCTCTTTGCTTTTTTTGTCACAGTGTTTTCTTCTGGTCTCTTCCTGATTGGCTTTGACATCATACTGGAGAGAAATATCTGCTTAGATAATAGAGTTGTTTTTTGTGTTTAGTCCTGTTTCTTTCCTAGACATAGGCATCTGTGGAACTAGCTTACCATAACCCCTTCTAACATAGAACGTATTTATGAATCAGTGCTCCTATGTTCTTTTTGTGTGTCTGATAATCAGTGACAAAATGCAATCCTGTGGTTTTCCTTAGATAGAAAACTTTACATATCTGACAGGATGATCTGACTGAATTGTCTTTAGAAAAATGACTTGAGATGAAATTTACTTAAAAATCTTTGTAGCAACTGGTGAGTTCCTGGTGGCCTTATATTGAGAAATTGTGTGCTCTAAACCTAATGAAGATAAGACTAGTACACACCCTTAGAATAAGTATTAAAAAAGTAGCTCATTCAACACTCACCTTTGATATGTGTACAGGTAAGGCTGGCGAACAGCCTGTAGGGGAGCCCAAATGATGAAACCCAGGAGGGCAAAAGGCAGAGATGCGAGGAAGAGTAGCAGATAAAGGGGGGCAGCAATCAGGACACACAGGGTGAGGAAGGAGCAGGGGTCTTGGGAGCGCTGGCGCTTCTCCAGTGAGGTGGCCACACAAGAGGCCAGGAGTCGGTCCAGGAGCCAGTAGGAGGGAAACACCAGGCTCCACGACATGCCATCCAGGAAGTGCAGACAGGCACTGGAGTATGGGGTGGTGTAGAGGACCATCTCTTCCTTTCTTCTTCTGTTCTTTCTCTCTTTTTTTTCTCCACTCTTTCACTTTCCTTTCTCCTCACCCTGCACTCTCTGCCAACACCCACATACACTCAACAATCAACCACAAATCTGTTCAGTGATTACATGAACAGAAGAAAGTAAAAAGCAATCAAAATCCAGTTTACACCCTCCCCCCTCTTTGGAGAAAGGAACACTACATATTTTGAATGATTTTCATCTGCAGGTGGAAGCTTTTCTCAGACTCACTAACCCTCCCTCAGTTATTACACCCTCCACAGGAGGGCTTTAGAAGCATAGGCTGAAGGTAGCTTGTTGCCATTATGAGATCCGCTTCCTTGATGCCAGGTCTATGATTGCAAAGACTCCAATGACCTCCGAAGGGGGCCTCCATTAAACATCATGATTTCCTGCGGCCCTGGAGGAAAGTGAACAAATCAATAAAGAGGGGAGGGAGAGAGGAGGGAAAACAGGGAAGATATCAGTAATTTACCTATTGTATCATTTGCATACAAGGAGTAAATATTCATTTAAGAATGAAAAGCAACAAATATTTTTCCACACATTCTTTAATGGGATAAAATCATTGTGATAATTGTTTTTTTTTTATTTCCACCAGGATGGGTATAGATTACATTCACTTCACTGTATCTCTCCAATTAAACAAAACTAATACTGAATTGAATTAATATTTAGAGATACATTACAGTTAGTTTACAATAAAATGTAACCTGTTCAACATTTCAAGATACAGTGTAATACTAAGATAATGTGTTCCTTATGTATTTTTCATTAAATGTCCAGTTTAGGTTTAAAGACAGACCACTAACAGATTCATTATATGTAACATGTCAGCATATCCTCATTATGACACCTACACAATGTTCTAAAATAAATTAAAAAAAGTTACAGATTTTTTTTTAAAGTCAACCATATGTAACGGCAGTTGGCTTTCTTCCAAAATCAGGCTTGTTTGTTGGATAAAGCAACTTTCTCTGAATAGCCCATCTCTCACACGAACAATAACTATTGAATACTGCCTCTCAGTAATTGTTTCTCTATAAAATCCAACCCTGTTGTACACAGTAATCGATAACGATCCTTCCTATGATGGATAATCCCTATGTTTTGTTCCATGACTGACTAGCAGCCTGTTACTTCTAGCTATCTCGTTGAACAGAAGACAGAGTGTGGCTTGCTGACTCATCAGCACATCAGACTGACATACTGTGGTACAGTAGTAGTTGTTGTATTGTCTGGGGATCAACGTGCAATACTTCCATCTGCAGCCTACTCAAAGTCTGTGTTGTGCTAAACTGAACCTTGCAACACAATATATCAAAGATTGTTTGATATTTGCAGTTTATTTCAGTTCAGTTACAGTAAAATGCACACATTTTGTTAGGGTCTTTGGGGTTTTGCTGTTTTTCTGGTGTGAGTGAGCTTCCTGTTACAGAGAGGATCTTTGCTCATGGCTGAGCCAACTTGTGTTGCTGCACACCTGAGAACATTTCTCAGTCAGGATGATTAGCGTGTATACAAGAAGGCGAAAGATCATCTCTATTCACCGGATGATTACCTCTGCTGGTATTCCAGGCAAACATCTAAACAGGAATATTTTTCTTGCTGAAATGTGTCTTCTCTTGAATCTCTCTCATGGGAACATTGTTATTGTTCCATACAACCAATGAACCTCAGTTCGTCTCCAATCTTCATTGGAAAGGTCTTATCTCTGAGCAGCAGTTCTCAGTCTTCTTCTCCTGCCTGCCTGCTCTCCAGCACAATGTCTACCAGGTAGAAAGCAACTACCAATGCTTTCAGATTCCACTGTCATTCCCCTGGACCTCTGGGTTACAGTCTGCAAAGCCTGCTGAATCAAATTCTACACATCCAAGTGAGCTCTCCTTCATCTCTCAATTAAGTAGATGTATCAGTCATCAGTTGTCATCAACCGAGTGAAAGTGGATCGTGTCATGGATTCCTGTTACAAAGTTCACTAAATTTCAGTCAGTCTACCAGGTCTTTTTTGTTTGATGAGGACTAAATCTAATTTGTGCTCAGCTTTTTGATTGATCCAGCCCTGCAGTGGGCTGATGCAGGCTGATTTAGGGGTGAGTTCTTTTGCTTTAATTAATTGTGGCTGTGAAAAAAAGCTTTATAGATAACAGTTTAGCTAAACAGTTACTTCTTCCTGTTGTATGTCTACCTGAACCACTTCATGACTCAGCTCTAGATGGAAGTCCTCTGCATGCAATCACAGACCGAACAAAATAAATCATTTTTTTCCTGTTTTCTTCACACCAATCTCCCATTGTTTTAGGGTACTCTTGGCTCACACTTCATAATCCTCACCTGAACTGGAAAGACAATAGAGCTCAGTTACGTAATAACCACTATCTGTCAAACTGTCTACAGTCAGCTGTGTCTTCAGCCTTAAAATCTCAAGAACAGGAAACTGTGGTAGACCTCTCCCTGGTTCCACCTGAGTATCATCAGATTAATCTCGTTCTCAGTAAGTCTGAGACTCACCCTCTCCTGCCTCACTGTCCTATGACTGTTCTATTGAGCAACTTCCTGGACCTCCTCTGCCCTACAGTAGTTGGTATAAGCAAAGCCTGACAGGGAGAGTAAGGAGAAGTACATAAATGAGTCGCTAGCTGCTAGAATTATCCGTACCTCTACCTCACCTGTTAGAAAAAGGATGGATCACTAAGACCTTGCATTGATTACAGCCTTAACCAGATCACTGTGAAAAATAAATATCCCCTCCTTCACCAAGTTGGATCTCCAAAATGCCTACCACTGGGTCAGAATCAGAGAATGAGACGAATGGAAGACTGCATTCAAGAACCCCATAGGTCATTTTGAATATCTCATAATAACTTTCGGTCTCACTAAAGCACTTGCAGTTCTCAAATCACTTGTGAATGATGCCCTTAGAGATTTTAAAAATCAGTTTGTATTTGTATAGCTTGATGATATTCTTATTTTCTCCAGGACCTTATCCGAACATAAGATCCATCAGTGCCAAGTTCTCCATGGTATTCTAGAGAAGGAACTTTTTGTCAAAGCTGAGAAGTGTGAGTTTCATGTCACATCAGTCACCAGCCTCCCTGTAGTCCTCTTCAACCATTGCCTATCCCTTAACATCCGAGCTTTCATATTGCCTTGGATTTCGTTACCACTACCACCACTACCACCAAAGGCTTTCACCACCATCCACGCTATAGTCAACTGCTTCTTCAAAGCCTGCCTTCTCATCCCTTATCATCATCTTTCCTCCTTCCTCTAGAGAGCTCTTTACTTTTACCCATCATGGAATGTTTCTTGTGTGATACAAGAGACACCTTTTTATAGGCCATTTTTAGGGAATGAACTGCTGTTATTAATTTGCACTGACAAGGGATAGGATGGATTTCTCATTACTGGGAGATTTTAGCTGGCATCTTGGCTTTCCATACCTTTTTGCACCTACATTTCATCATAAATCTATCTATTTTGATTGATCTGTTTATAAATATGTATATATATATATATATATATATATATATATATATATATATATATATATATATATATATATATATATATATATATATATATATATATATATAATATTCAATAACATTTCTAAGGATATTCAGGTAATGCATAAACAGGGAGACTGTTGCATCCACAACAGGGTTCACTAGTGTTGAGTTGCTTTATCACCAAACCGACTGCATGACATTTAAAGGTATAAAACTCAAAAAGACTGACAAGAGTTTAAAGGTTAAAGAGGGCCAACTGCTAGGAAAGATGTGCTCTGCTGAACTGTGTTTTGTTTGTTGCTTGGCTCTGTGCTCCCAACAGTGTTAAATCCTCCCACCACCCACCACATTTAAAGACTTCTACTCTTTACCACGACTGTTTCCTTACATCCTCTGGAGGACGTTCTCTTTGCTACCAACAGACAGCATAAATAACCAATCCCAGAAAAAACACCCATCAATCAGAACTGATATATCAGCAAGCGCAGACTGTCACTCTTAGCCTTATCAGGGGAAATGCAGCAGTGCATATTTTATACCCCAAAAAGGCCCAGATACGCCGAACCACAAATAGGCAAAAATTAAGTTTGAGAAAAAAAACCTACAGTTTACCCAAAGTAAACTTTAAATTTCACTAACTCACAAGCTCATAGGGATTGACAATAAATGAAAATGGGTCCAATAATGAGAGAAAATAGAGACAAGGTACCCTCAATGAATCAAAGGATGGAGTGTAAAATGATCAACCACCATAAAAAGTAATAAAGTACTCTGTAAAAAATTACACACAGCAAACTAACATAACAAAACATCACTATCCTCTATTATTTAGTTTCCCAGAAGACTGTGGCACACTGAGAGTAACAACAGTCATCTGAAGATACTTAGCACGCTATAATGAACATACATACAATGTAAAAATAGCAATTATAATGTTCTTAGTGAAGATGAAGGCTGAAAAATTGTGATGTTAATTTCAGTATTAATTTGCTGAACTGCCATTGCTGAATCAATAAGCAAACACTTTTTCTGTTGAAAGCTGCTGAAAGTTATGATAAACATATCTGACAAGCACTTTGGATGGATAAACTGTTTTCACTTCCATAATGGACCTTTAACTCCCTAATTATATCTATTAAGCAAAATCATTTCACTTCTCTGAAGTGGCTTTTTAAAGCACTTGATGATTCGTTTTAATTTTCCCTCTGTGTGTAAACAAATTCCAGTTTATATATTTATTTATGTTTGATCATGGGAGTTTTACCTGATTTTATGACCAAACTAAAAAATTACACTTATAAAAATAGAACTTCACAATTAACATAATCAGCAAACAAATTACCAAAAACTAGAAATTATTACCCATTTTGGAACCTTATGTAATTTTATAAAATGATAAAGTTCAGATTATCTAGATCCTATTTTTTATTTCACACTCCAGCTTACGCTTCATAAAGTATTTATTGGCCGTTACAGTTTTGCTGTAAAGATGACAGCAGACAGCTCTGATTGACAGCCTAGATGTCTGGGATAAATCACAGTTGTACATACGACCTTGAAAGCTGTCAGGAGGTTCATCCATAAATCTGCCTCAAAATATTTCCCTTTCAGCCCAAATCAATAATCTCTGTCTAGATGCAAACTGGATAAACTAAGTTCTCTCAATAGTCTATAGATTTTTTTTTCAGCTACTGAAGTATTAAACTTGCGAATTTTATTAACATTTTCACAAAAAAAGCAAAATATGAGTATCAAAGTTGTTTCCATTAGGAGTGATTTTGACACAATTTCGCAATTTAAACAAAAAAAAAACAACAACAACAAAAACCCAATAGAAATTTTCCCCTGTCTCAATACAACATACAAATAAACCACACATAGAAAATAT